GCGCGGGCCGCGCCGCGCCAGCCGGCGGCGGCCGCGTCGTAGTCGCTGCGGTAGAAGGCGAGCGCCAGCGTGGCGCGCAGGTTGAAGCGGCCGGTGTTGACGGTCGGCTTGCCGCCGGCGGGCGCCCGGAAGCGAGGGTGCGCGTACAGCGAGTGGCGCGCGAACCCGGCCGGCAGGTACCACTGCTCGCCAGATATCGTGTTCATGCGGACCTGCGCACGTCGCATGACACGACGACTATTGTACTCGAGCGATATCACACGACTTCTTCACAATCAAACGTAAAAAATCAGTTGAGTAATGTCGTGTGAAGGAGTGGTGTAGTACTGACCCGGTTGAGGAAGTCCTGATTGAACTCAGCGTGCGGCGGCAGCAGTAGCAGCAGGGCGTCGCGCGACGTGTGGGGGGCGGCGACCTCCAAGGCCACGCCTCCCGCCGCCAGCAGCGCGTCGTACTCGGGCAGCTCGGCGAGGGGGGCGGGGCTGGGCGCGTCCAGCACGGTGAGGGTAGCACCCGAGTGTCGCTGGCGCAGCGCCTCTACCTCGCCGCGGATGGGCTCCAGCGCTGCGGTCTCGTTGGCGTTACCGACTATCACCTACAATGACATGAATATCTATTACATGTACATACAAAAATAACACCACTTCACGAATTTGTAGCAAACACGTGATTCACGTGTCGTATGACAAGATAAGTGTAGGTACCAGTATAAGTGCGGTGTTCTTGTCCTGCGTGAGGCACACGGCCTCGTACCGCGCGAGGAAGGCGCGCAGGTCGGCGGGGGGCGTGGCGGGGGGCGCGGCCACCAGCAGCGTGAGGCGCGCGGACTCCGTGACGTACCGCACCGGCAGCAGCCGCGCCGCGCCCAGCGGCCGCGCCACCTCCAGCATGCGCAGGCGCGGCCGCGGCCCCGCCCCCCCCGCCGCCGCCTCCCGCAGCACCAGGCGGTAGCGCAGCGCGCGCGCCGGCTCCCACAGCCACGCCCCCTCCAACAGCGTAGGCTCGGCCCCGCCCCAGCGCTTTGCCGCCCAGCCCCGCGCCGCGCGCAGCACTAGCTGGAAGCGGAGTAACGAGAAACTTTTATAGAGATATTGGTATAGATGGCGCATTGGAAATCTCACGGTTTAATCTGTAGCTACCTACACTTGTTCGGTGCATTTTTGACTCCTTTATTTCCTGTTTTATAAGTCAACGAATTACTAATTGATGATGCTGTATGTTTTCCGGAGGCACCGGAAAACATACAGCATTGCTTTGCAGAAGCAGTCGTATACTTTCAGCTCCATCTGTGATCGACGTTAGTAAACATATGTGGTTTCACCTAAAAGTAACTAGATGGCGTTGGGGTGCGCCAGCAAGACGCGCCGGAGCGTAAGGGTCCATACCATAGATTTATAAATATAACATAGATGTCTGGCTATTGTCTACGGGTAGAATTTAGGATCCATCTTGACGGTAAATTCATAAACATATTGTTGTTTCTTTTTTACTTATGTCTCTTTGCTTTTGCAGAAAGAGACAACACATTATTGTCATTCTGGCCATAATTTTTTGACGTCATCAGAAAAACCTAGTTGTGCCGAATTGGCCATCTTAGTCCCTGTTATCAGTGCATGTCAGTGGTACATCAGCTGTCAAAGCATTGGTCAACCAATATTTTGTTACGAAAATTTGTAGAATTCCTGTTGTTTTTGTGCGTGGTAAACAAAGAAGTTATTGGTTAGTGAGAAGAACTATGCCCGAGTGCAGTGTTATTGGATGTAGCACTAAAAATATTACTAAACCGGCAGGTGTAACATTACATCGGTAAGTACTGTTATTTTTCATTAAAATATCTCTGTTTTTCAAACTATTCAAGTGTGGTTGCTGCAAATTGACTAAATACAATACTTTTCTAAC